CATGAAGCGACCACGAAGTGGGCAGCCAGGAGGTTGAAAGATACGCAGAAGGACGATCCGCAAAAAGACCAAGACAGACTCAGAAAAAGTAAGACATACAAGATATTACTACCTCATATCCCATTGCTAATTCTCATAATTTAGCTGCTCGGTCTGAATGCCTTCTTCACCTCGGCCTTAAGTGCCCGGGGCCGGGAAGGGTCGTTGAGGGATTAGTGCTTGGTATTCCGTGCTCAAATAGCACGAGAATCACGTTCCAAACAGGTGTTTTTTTACAAAGATCATCAAAGAAAGCATATTGGGCTCAAATGCCGACCCTGCAATGGGCGGTTTGTGTTTAACGAGTTTTTGAGATCCAATTTTCTGGAGGCAGGCGATAAGCAATCATTGTGCTGCCATAAGAGGTGCTTCAGCCTTACGTGGGAGGGCTCAAGACTTTGCCGTGAACACTTTCTTTGCTGGACGCCAGAACTCCTCGTCCACGATGAAGCCGCAATGAAGGAGCTTAGGACTTTGTTCGATACAGCGTCTTCTCAGCAGTGGCGTCCCGAGACAGAAATAATGGTGAACCTCATCAGGAGGATGGAATCTGACAGCGAGTCCAATATCCCTCCTTCCTATTTGGTGAATATCGACCTAGAATTTGGTTTCACTTCCAAAGAGGTGCTCGAAATTGGCCTCGCTGATATCGAAGGGAAAGGAGTACTCAATTGTATCGCCAGATAAAGTGACGGAGTCATCGCGCCTTCCTCGTCGAGCCCTGTACCTCTAGCTCATTTGCAAATGTCGTATGAAGAGAAGGTCAAAAAGTATCTTACGTCGGATGGCCGCCTTCGTGTAAAGCAGGTCGTTGAAAAACCCCAAGGAGTCGGTATCTCCAACCAACCCTTTTTCCTGTCTTGGAGGTCATGGTCCTTCGACCTGTCGTATTTAAGACAATGGCTGCGGCAAGAAGGTCTTGGCTGTGTTCTCCCCGGAGATGAGAATGTCTGCTTGCTCCTTCAAGAGTTCCACACCAACGTGAGGCGGGTGCTTGGTCGTACCTGCTTCAAAGGCAGGACATTTCCTCTCAAGCTACCTTTGGTGTTTGCTTTACTCTTCGGAGATACTCATCCTCTAGCAGGGCGTAACCACCGCGCACTGGTGGACGCCCAGCAATTAGCCTTGCTGGCGAGACTGTTCGTCGACCTCTGTAAACCCCCCAGCAGGCGGGTTTACTGGCAGGCGTCGACATTGAAGACGCTATTCCCTGGCAAGAGACAGCAACGGTTGAACTTTTCCCTCCCTGCAAGCAAAAGGATAAAGCTCTCCTGAGATGTCTGTCGTCCTTTGTGTATATCCTTTAATACACCTATTTCTTTCGAATGAATTCTTCGTAGCCCTAAAAGGTTTAGACTGGTTCCTGTAGAACCTTAGAGACGTCATAGAAAATGTTCAAAGACATGTTTCAGCCACGCTTTCCAAGTCTTTGTTCGATTTGCTTTCGAGGACGCAGATATGTAGTCTGTATGGAGACGGTATACAAAGGAATAGACTCTATTTCACTCTTTCGACGGCGAAATGAATTAATCTTTGGATATTCAAGAATTCCAAGTCTTCCACAGTAGGTCTTTCGGTCCTAATTAAATTTAGAACTTCTTTGAAACTTCAAATTCATTCAGAGCGATAGTGGACTTAAACGCTTTTGCGTGGCGGATCACCCGCGGGGACTGCGGGGCTGAAACTCATCACACTTCTCTCGACTCTTCACCCTTTTTTTCCCCTTCAACTTCTCTCTTTTTGTTTTTGAAGACACCTTGGACCCTCGCCAATTCCATTTTCCTTCGTCGCCTTGCCTTCCTTCTAACACTCTACGACTCTCCGACGCGACATCCCACCATGGCTGATTTACAAGGTCGCAAGGTCTTCAAGGTCTTCAACCAGGACTTTATCGTGAGCGAGCAATACAATGTGACAAAGGAGCTTGGCCAGGGAGCCTATGGTATCGTGTGGTAGGTCTTGATGCCAGTGGATGATACTCGTTGGACACGTGCTGATGGCATAATGCAGCGCGGCTACCAACATCCAGACCGGCGAAGGTGTCGCCGTCAAGAAGGTGACCAATGTCTTCAGCAAGAAGATTCTGGCCAAGCGCGCCCTCCGTGAAATTAAGCTGCTTCAGCATTTCCGTGGCCATCGCAATGTAGGCCGCAGATCATCCTTATCATTACCTGTACGCGCTAACTCAGCCCTCTAGATTACATGCCTGTACGATATGGATATTCCCCGACCGGACAACTTCAACGAAACATATCTCTATGAGGGTACGTGGTCTGCTGCTTTGCGACGAATAGAGCTGGACTGATAAGCCTGCAGAATTGATGGAATGTGATCTGGCTGCTATCATCCGCTCCGGCCAGCCTTTGACTGACGCCCACTTCCAATCCTTCATCTACCAGATCCTCTGTGGTCTCAAGTACATCCACTCGGCCAACGTCCTGCATCGTGATCTCAAACCCGGTAATCTGCTGGTCAATGCGGACTGCGAGCTCAAGATCTGTGATTTCGGCCTGGCCCGTGGGTTCTCAATCGACCCGGAGGAGAACGCGGGATACATGACTGAATATGTCGCGACGAGATGGTACCGCGCACCGGAGATCATGCTGAGCTTCCAGAGCTATACCAAAGCGAGTATGTAACACCGGCATGCATAATTTGCCACCGAATCCCCGCTAACCCCACTTGTGCAGTTGACGTCTGGTCCGTGGGCTGCATCCTCGCCGAGCTCCTCGGCGGCCGACCCTTCTTCAAGGGCCGTGACTATGTCGACCAGCTGAATCAGATCTTGCACTACCTGGGTACACCTAACGAAGAGACCCTGGCGCGCATTGGATCGCCCCGCGCCCAGGAATACGTGCGCAACCTGCCCTTCATGCCGAAAGTGGCCTTCAAGCAGCTGTTCCCTCAAGCCAACCCCGATGCGTTGGACCTGTTGGACCGCATGCTAGCGTTCGATCCATCGTCTCGTATCTCTGTCGAGGAGGCCCTCGAGCACCCCTACCTGCATATCTGGCACGACGCCTCCGACGAGCCGAACTGCCCCACGACCTTCGACTTCCACTTCGAGGTCGTCGAGGAAGTTCCCGACATGCGTAAGATGATTCTCGACGAGGTCATCCGCTTCCGTGCGACCGTCCGCCAGCAATCGCAGGCCCACGCCGCCCAGCAGCAGCAGGTCGCTCAGCAGACTAACATCCCCATTCCAGATAACCAACAGGGTCCTTGGAAGACCGAGGATCCTAGACCTCAGGAGGCTACCGCTGGCGGTGGCTACAACCCTAATGACTTGGAATCCTCGCTGCAGCGCGGCATGGACGTGCATCACCGTTGATACCTATTTTCTTCTTTCTGACTTGTTGGTTGTTCGGCGTGTTGAAATCCGATCGTGTCTTCTACCGCGCCCTGCATGTTGATCTAATTTAGCCAAGAGATACCATCAGAGAAACAAAAAAGACTGGGACGATTTACATGGGGGTCCTTTTTTCATCATTATAACTGCGATTTCGAACTCGACTTTCTCATCTCTATTTGAGGTTCTGCGGTCTGCCCTCTCGCCCGATGTTATAGCTTGGATTGTGTCTGCGTTTGGTATTTATTTTGGTATAACCTTCTGTTCATGTCTGACTCCTTTGACTACTTCCAAATTTCAAGGCGCCATTGGTTGTGGTTTCTGGATATGATACTTGGGTCTCTGTCTATGTCATTACTCGGTGCATTGCATCTCTTTCAAGTAGGATCATTAGATAGATTGTCAATCAACTCTCCCCCCTCGTCTGCTGTCTGTCAATGAGGAACCATTTAGAACACGTAGCTCAAACATATCATTGGCCTTTGTACATAGTACTACTCTGTATGTGACAGTTGCTAGCTAATCACCCGATTTCTCTTTATCAAATCCAAGCTTCCACCTCTAACTATGGAGCATAGTTTCCCGTTCGGGAAAGTCCACGTGCCAAGCCACGTGCCTAATCGCCCGATACACACCAAAACAGGTAGGCGGTAACGTTCTGCCCCCAAATGGAGGTTATAGTGAACTGAACGCATAGATACTTCGCCCTTTGGGGCATATGGTCAAATGAAAATATACAGAGAAGATTAGCATGGCCCCTGCACTAAGGATGACACGCTCAATCAAAGAGAAGCTACCTATTTTTTTTCTCTTTTACAGGTCCTTCGTTATGGAGATGGGATGTGGGCCTTTGTAGTGTAACGTGATTGGTCCTACGCTTTTGGGAAGTCATGTGCCTATGCTGTAAGGCTGACGGTTGGGTTTCGAATGGCGTTGTCGACGAATCCACTTTTTATTTACTTGACATCTGCGGAGTAGGGAGTACTAGTTAGGGCTATGCAATGTGCTCACTAACCCTGGAACCTGTAGACCTACAGTCTAGGACCTGCAGTACTGAATTACATGTGGGCTGTTACTCATATGTGAAAATCCTAGTTAATTATCACGTCGACCGCGCTTGCCTCTATCGTTAAGAACGACATGATCTAGTTGGCTCGATTGAGGTCTTCTTTGTGTCCTTTTGATCTTTTTTGATAGGCATATTCTTGCCCTTCTTAAGTATTATAGATAGACAGCAGAAAAATGTGGAAAACTTCTCTACGTATAACCCTTGATAGGCAAAACTACAGAAGTTCAAACTTGCCATACTAGCACCTTCTAAGGCCAGGCTACATATAGGAGGCCATCTTGTAGCTTGGGGAGATAGAGATACCTCCGCCGATTGGTGCGATACATGATACAGACAAGTGATTCAGTGAACTTCGTACCGCTGCGCAAGCGATCATCGCAAGCCTTGGAAATAGCATATATCAGACAAAGGGATAATTAGACCAGACAAAATGGAATTCATATATTCATATACGCTATCATAGCAAAACTAACCGACTATAGCCAGCAGACTCGCCCTAGAGACCAAGCCAGGATATCTTATATCAAAAAAGATCAATATATCTCAATAATAATACCCCCGCCACCAAACAGCCATACAAGCCGCAACAACCAAATCCAGCATTTTAATGCCCTCATCCTCAATAACCAACTTCCCCAGTTTGGCACTCTTCCCCCTTAACCCACCACCAGCAGGCTCCCTCGCAAGCGAAAAGTCCAAGCGATCCTCATCAGACTCGTGATCTAAATCCCCGCCACTGCTATTACTCGTACTGCGGTGCGAATGCGACTGAGAAGTAGAATGATGCTGACTATGGCGCGCGAAGCGGTGCGCATGCATGGAGGTTCTGCGGAGGATGGTTGAAGGGCTGAAATTTGGACGTGAGTCTGCTGGGGGCGAGGCCGGGAGAGGTGGGATATTTGGGCCTGGGCCTGAGTGTGCGCGCGGCCGGGTGTAGGTGTTTGGGTTGAGAAGTTGGGTGAGAGGATTGCGCTTTGCGGCTGCGTGGCTGTTGTTGGAGATGGATGGATGGAGGGATTCTTCGTAGGAGTTGTTGTCGTTTGGGTAGTCGTTTGCCCGGGGGATGGTCGGGGTTTGAAGTTGGCTTTGGGTGAAGGGGGAAATGTGGTTCGGGTGCGGTTTGTGGACTGCGTGGTGGGCGTGCGAGTGGAGGTTTGCTGCTTGGAAGGGGGTGTTGAAGCGGAGCTCGGCGACAGTTACGGCGGGGGGTGCTTCTGTTTCACCGTTTGTAGGGATGAAGCCGCCGGGTGTTGGGATCATGTGTTTGCACTTGAGGCTTCGGCCGTTCACGCTGGTTGTGAAGGTACATGTGCCATTCCAAGGAGACGTGAAGACGTAGTAGCCGCTTTTTAGCTTGGAGGATGGACCATCTTGGTTAAGGCCGTTGCTGAGATCCGTGGCAGCGGAGTCGTCGAATGGCTTCGATACGCAGAGCTGGCGGCGGAATTTTCGTGGGCCGGTTGACTGCTCCTTTGACTGCTCGGTGGCTAAGGTTTGAGGAATGGCAGAGTTGGGTAGGCGTCCAATCCCTGTCGGAATATTGACCGCTAGGTTGGATAATGAAGGCAACTCATTGGAGCCTGCGAACCTGTTATACCCCGGCGTGGAGATCTCGATATCGACGGTATTGCGGTCCATTCGTGGGGTTGATATAGTTGCCACATTCCATTGTGTACCGGACGTGGGATCGCGTCGGATGAGCGTGATATGAAAGCCAGCATTGCTAGGAGGGTTTCCATTTGAGTTTCTATGGCGGTTGGGAGATTGTCCCGGACTTCCTAATGGTGATCCGGGACGGTTATGCGAGGAACGCGGCCGCAATTGTGGTCTAGTAGAGTCAAGGCTATGACGGCCAGCCGACAGCGCCTCGTACTTTGCCTCATACTTTTCCTTCCAGTTCTCTCCTCGACTCTGCAATTGTTCGGCAAACGCGCTCCATCGGGATGTCCTCTTAGACGGGTCCTCGCCTGCTGGAGAATTGGCCCATGACTCTTCACCAGGCGGCAAGGAAGGTAAAGGTCGCCACCGAATACCGCTCTTACCACCAGACTCTCCTGATACACCTCCAGACATATGTATATTAGCCACTGGAGTTCCAGAGAAAGATACATTTTCCGCAGTAACCTGCGGCATGGGGATTGGCCGTGGAGGCAAGGTGGGAGAAGCAGCGGCATGTGGCATAGAGATTGGCCGTGGTGGTAAGGTCGGCGAAGCAGCAGCATGCGGCATAAAGGCCGGACGTGGTGGCAAGGCAGGAGAGGCAGGTTTATCCTGCAACACAGGGATCGGACGTGATGGCAAGGCAGTGGCATCTTGCTGAGGCGTTGTTGGCGAGCGCTCGGGGTTGGGATCACCTCCTCCACCAACTGGTTTCCGGCGCACATTGTTCAGCCGCGCGAACTCGTGTTGTACAGGGCTATCGCCGCCCGCTTTCTCAAGGCGTTCCTTTCGCAATTGGGCCTCCTCTGCGCGCTCTTCTTCTACTTCCTGGAGCAGGGTATCATCGTCGGGAGTCGCGACATGGAGATAGTAAAGAGAGGCGTTGATCGCCTCAGCAGAGACACTAGACTTAGTCGGTGGTTTGAGAGGCGAGAGAAAGATGTCTGCACATATAAATAGCAGTTAGTTATGGTTTATTTTTTGGGGGGTTGTTAAAGCACGGTAACGCGCAACTATGGGGCTTTGAAGACCAAAAGAAAGAGAGCATAGTCTCAATATGGGATTGACTCATACCTTTGCTTCCTGGCACACGCACAATGTACAGAGAGAGTGGTTCGTGCTTCTCGTGGGTAGGATTGCGCGGATAGGCGGGGGGATTTGATGCGATAGTGGTAACCGACGACAGTGATCGTGCCTCAACGGGGCCCTGAGGGATGGTAGACATTGCGGACAAGCCCGCGATCCACCCCGACAAGGAACGCAGGTGAATTATAGAAAGACTGGGGTTATGTTGGGGTTGAGGTTAACAAATAAACAATGGGTCTCTCGGCAGTGGGCGGAGTTGGTCATGCCGCCGAGGAAGAAGGGCCTGGTGTTTTCTGTTTTCTCTTCTTTTCTGCGCTCCTTTCTGTTCATCCAATGGGGTGAAGTTACACAGGCGAGAAACAAAGGAATGCAAGGGCAAAGGACAAGGATATAGAATGCTGCCTATCGTGGCGCAGTATGCGCGGGCAGCAACCCTTGGGCTGCGATTACGTTGGGATCTACTATCTATTGTAACAACCTACAATATAGATGGAATCTGCGGTCGCCAATACAATTGACGCTGGAAATTACCGCTGTTGGGGCTATGAATGGCTGTCAATCCCCCGAAGACCCCCCGTGACTGAAAGAAATTCACCGAAAGCCGCACTTTCCACTAACTTCCACCTCATCCATGACGACTATGTTACAGCAACATCCATATTTATATTTTGCGCCCAATCTAAGCCCTTCTAACCCTAACAACCTTTCCTCGGTTCCAACGCCAGACGAAACAGCCACCTCTGTGACTCCTGCGCACGCGCTCTGAGAGCGCCTTTCTTTTTTTAGACAGCCGTCGCCACGTCTTCGTCATCAAGAGATCCTCACTTCGCCCTCGACGCTTTGCACGCGCATGATATACCCGAGGCCTGGTGCGACTGGACGGTGTGCCTGATCCGAGTGCGGAAGACCACCATACTGGAGCAGCGATGAGTACTTTCTCCGCTTCTACGTTTTCTCGGATGCGCTACTAGGTGTAAAGGCAAGGTATATCCTATATAGGTATTCCGTTCAACGAGGGACCATTGTCCTATCAACTGAGAGCGCATAGTAGGTGGGTGCTGGGCACTGTAGTAGGCGCACTATGACTGGGGGCACTAGGCCGCGGCATAAAATGATAAGACGGACCTGTAGCCGAGAGAGAATGGGTGGCGCTGCGGGATATTTCACTCTAGAAGGAATCTTGAATGAGGAAACAGTGCGATGATCATAGAAGCTGATGAAGTGGTTAGTGGAATTCTAGGAGACTCGACTTAGGGTTGACATCACTACATAAATATAACTGCTATGGTTCATTGTTCATATATTTGGTATCTTCAGAATAGCTACACGGTCAGAGACAAAGATAAAATGGTGTGATAAAGTGAAAGGAAAAATTGAAGGAATGCAATCCGGAGGCAGTACTCCTAGGGGGTGTCGATACAATAAGAAACTCCATGCTGCAACGCCAGACATTTCCATGTCCATGTCCATGTCCACGTCCCAAAAAAAAAATTGATTCAAGTGAGAATCCGTATATCGATATTAGACAACAGTCTCGGATCGTTCGCCCTCTGCAATGACTGGTACACCCAAGCCACGATCCGGGCTCTGCAAAACAAGCTGTTCATGACGTCGTGCCCGCAGGAAATCACTGACCGCACGGATTAAGATGAACCAGCCAACAATCATAAGAATATATGAAATCCATTCACTGGTGCTGATGCCAGAGATGGCGCCGTTCCCTCCATTACCCCCACCCTCACCAACCGAATTAGGGTCGAAGTTGTGGCTGTTGGGGTCAGGTGGAGGGACATATTCGGAGCCTCCACCCTCGGAGCCGGAACTGTCGCTGCTGCCACCTTTCATGTAGAAGCCGTATTGAACAAGAGTAAGACCGAGACCCGCTCGGCTGCCGTTCTTTGCGGCATGGGTGGTGTGAAGAAGATAGGTCAGCAAGAAGCCAACGAGCTGGAATGACATTGAAATCATGGCGTTCCAAATAAATGAGAAAACAGATCCAACAGGCAATCCATCGACATAGACCTCGTCTGACGAGATACCAGGAGCTACAATGGTGGTCTCCCAATATGGCGGTGTCGCATCAGCTGCGGCTTCTTCGTATGACTATAAGATATCAGTAAATAAGTCTTTCTTTTTGGGTCAAAAATATCAATGATCAACTTACAGGAGGAAGATCATCATTCTTCTCACCCCGTTCAGGCTTGGCAGCAAGATTGGCAAAGACTCCATCATTCGATGAGGCGATCTGCCGACTCCCTCCCGAAGCCGGGGTCGTAAAACTTGGTAATAGCGTCGGTCGCCTGAGAAGCCCTGATTGAATCTGATCCTGCGGATCGCCTCTCGAGTCCGACGAAGAGGCCGTGGTGGTAGGGCCGTTATCCGGGGGAGCACGGAAGTCGGAGTCTGCTCGCATCAAGCGCTGTCGGTCATCCGGCTCATTATCATCATCGGACCCGTCTTCGTCGCCAAAAGCATCGGCGAGTGTCTGTTCGTCATCGTCGTGTTGCGGATCGTGGTGTAATAGCCGCCTTGACGATCGTGACGACGAGCGGGATCCGGAACGGAAAGACGAAGGTGAAGAGTTGCTATGTTCAGGTCGCGCGTTCAGCGGATAGGAATGTGGTCCTTCCTCTTCATCCTGGGCATTCACCTAGACAGTCGCGGTCAGTATGTTGCCGAGGGATCCCATCCAAGGGGCTTGTTCTGATAGGGGATCAGCGGGGAGGGGGATTGGGTACCCGTGAATAGCGCTGCGAGCTCATGGCGAGCTGAGCGGGAAGCGACCCTGAATAGAATCAGAAAGGAAATTGAGACAGGAATAACTTAGGGCGAAAAGAAAAAAATGATATAATGAGAGTACAAGGGGATGGCAAAATGACGGGGTCGACGAGAAGGCAACAGGAATGGATGTGGCTGTTGATGCCTGATGCGCCAGGCCAAAATAGACTGTTCCGGTCTTTGCCTCAACTTCCATGAGGAAGATCCTTCCCCTAGACCACAATTATCGTGTGATATCGCTTGTCCACCATGGCCAAAGCACCTGTGAGTATCTTACCCAACATCTGAATTATCCCAACACCATCGAAAAGCCCCCCGATGCTCAATCCCAAACAAATCTCCTAACAAATCATCCAGGCCCTCAACCCGCGCTCCCTCCAAAGTCGCCTCACCCACATCCTCAAGCATTGGCCTTCCGACGCAGTCCGCCCGGCTTCAGTCTCCGTCCAAGCCTATATCGAATCCCGTCTCAAGTCCGCAGACAAGTCCGGCCCAGCAATTTCCGAGTCCTCCGTTAATGCACTTGAATCGCTGCTGAATAACCGCTACGCGCGTAAATATCCCATGCCGGAGAAGCTGCGCCGGCCAGCTAGTAACCCAGACCACTATGACAATGTCATCCGTGAGTTCGCAGAGGCACCGAACCGCGATTGGTTTGGCCGGTTACGGAAGAGACTGGCTGGTATTATCCGCTTGACGTGATGCTTTTCTTCTTGCTGTTATGTATAGACTTTTGGTTCTTTGACGTTGGAAAACTTGGAAACACTTGGGAAAACTTGATGTATTATTGTCTCACTGGATTTGGGTCAGCATTATGGGGTTTTTTATATGATGGGTTGCATGACATGTACCAATACCTTTGCTCTTTTTTTGTTTATTGTACAACTAGTACTATCCTTTCTACTCGAATGTATGAATTTTTGTCAGAGCAATGCTCCTCTTGATGCATATCCAGGATATGTCCTTAATTTGAAACAATCTAACTCCTAATGTCTATATACAAAACGCTTAAAGAATCGTACAGTGTGCATGCGAATTTACAGCATGGGCTTCAGGTCGTCGGCGACCTTGAAGGGAGCATCGGTCTTGGCCTTGATCTCGTCGACGGTGACACCGTCGGCGATCTCAATAAGAGTCAGGCCGCTGGTAGTGTCAACGTCGAAGACACCGAGCTCGGTGATGATACGGCTGACGCAGGCAGGGCCAGTGAGAGGGAACTCGCAGGTCTTGACAATCTTGGGGTTACCCTTCTTGTCGGTGTGCTCCATGGTCACGACGACCCGGGTGGCGGAGGGGTTGGAGACCAAGTCCATGGCACCGCCGAAGCCCTTAATCTTACCGGGGACCATCCCTGTGAGAAAATGTTAGTTATATGCATAAACGAAGGAATTGCGGGAAAACGTACAGTTGGCCAAGTCACCCTTGGCGCTGACCTGCATGGCACCAAGGACGGTCATGTCGACACGACCGGCGCGGATCATAGCGAAGGACTCGTCACTGCCGAAGCAGCTGGCACCGGCCTTGAGAGTGACAGTCTCCTTGCCGGCGTTGATGACATCGGGATCCTCCTCACCCTTCTTGGGGTAAGGGCCGAGACCGAGAACACCGTTCTCGGACTGCAGGACAACCTCGATGGAGGGGTCGACGAAGTTGGAAGCAAGGACGGGCATACCAATACCGAGGTTGGCGTACATGCCGTTCTTGAACTCCTTAGCGGCACGGCGGACAATACGCTCGCGCTTGTTGGCGGTCTCACCCTTACCAAGAGCAGCGGTGTCAGCACCCTCCTCCTTGGCGTAGGTGTACTTCTCAATCTGCGTGGGGAAAGTGCTCTGGATGACACGCTTGACGTAGATACCGGGCAAGTGGACGGCAGCGGGATCAATCTCGCCGGGCTCGACGATGTGCTCAGCCTCAACGATGGTCATCTTGGCGTTACGGCCCATGGCGCCGTTGAAGTTGTTGGCTGTGTGGCGGAACAAGCAGTTACCAAGTCTGTCGGCCTTCCATGCCTTGACGAAAGCGTAGTCAGCCTTGATTGCCTCCTCCATGATGTAGCTCTTGCCATCAAACACCTTGGTGTCGCGGGGCTCGCTGTACTTTGCGACTGTGCCGTCGGGGTTGTGTCGCAGGGGCACCTGACCGAACTGCACCACGGTACCAAAGGCGGCAGGTGTGTAGAATGCGGGGATACCCGCACCACCGGCACGGCAGCGCTCAGCGAGAGTTCCCTGGGGGCTGAGCTCCAAGTCGATCTGACCAGTGACATACATTCTCTCGAAGGTCTTGTTCTCACCAACGTAAGAAGCAATCATCTTCGAGATCTGCTTGGACTCGAGGAGCAGACCGAGACCAGCTCCGTCAATACCAGCGTTGTTACTGACCACAGTCAAGTCATTGATAGAGGGGTTCTTCAGGACAGCGTCAATCAGCGTGTCAGGCACACCACACAACCCGAATCCACCAGCGAGCAGAGTCGTGCCAGACTTCATGTCCTTGACTGCCGCCTCGGCGGAGGGGTACACCTTGTTAATATCACTGCGGCGGACACTGCTAGAGAATGCGCGGGCAATGAAACGTTGGTGCTGGTAAAAGGCAAGACATTGTCAGTCTCCACGACTCAAAAAGAACTATAGGGCAGATCACTTACCTGGGCAGGGTTGGAGAACTGACGCGCGAGGCGCAAACATGTTGCCACTTGGGAAGGCATAGTGAACGACTTTTAGATGAGAGATTATACTAAAGAATCCCAAGTCCACATCAAGGTGTAAAAAGATCAAACGCCTGTGGTAGCGGCAATAGCCACTTCTTATATTCCCGCACGGCAGTGTGAGCGGTATCGTACCCGAGTGATATTCGTTTCCCCGGAAATGTGGATTCCCGGCTCTCTCCCGCCTACTATGAACCGCCCCGATTTCAATACATTTAACCCCCGGAGCCTCTGAACTTATTGACTAACTATTAGAAATATCCCAGAGAAATTACTGCAAAATCATACACACATCGCATTCTTTTTTTGATACTCATTATCTTCGGAACCTCCATCGGCGGATCGACTTCCTTTCGCCGCTGCCGAAATCACAGCCGATCCGTATCCGATTACCGCGGCCGCGGCTTGTGGAAATCGGGAGTGCTAAGTCAGCTTAATAATATGGTCACCTGATGTTTTCCAAGGTTTACCCGGGACAACAACCAATTAAAGGAGCAGGACGGAGTACGGAGCGTACTCCGTAGAAGATCAATAATAGAGAGAAAGATCAATTCGACTATCTTACTCTAAAAGTACTCCATGGTATCTTCAGCCTATGTACATGCTGGATAACAAAAACATTTCACACCTCGCAATGCAGTAATATCCACGTGCAGACATAAGATAATCGAGAATAGAATTCATGCAATCATGTTATCATGCTGTCCAAGGTGCTGTGCCACACAGTAAGAAATTAAGTCGGACGGATCGATTTCATTTCGTCAACACTCTTGCGTTTTAGAGGGTTGACAGCGGCCGAATCGAGGGGCGCGGCATTGGAATCTACCAAGACTGCTCCGAGTCAGTCGCCGGACGAGGTCATGTTGTGGTCTCCGGGTCGGATACTGTGTTTCCCGTACCTGGAGTTCCATTGATGCCTGCCGCTTCCTCATAGGATGGGGGTTCCATATTCACGTCTGGCGCAGGGCTGGTAGGCTGAACACCCTCCATGGAGGTGGTTTGTTCCAGACCGGCAAAGTCGGACATGTCAGATACCTCACGGCAGACCGGATTTGCCAAACGGTCTTTCATGCTATCGTTGACATAAACAAGGAAATACGGGGTCGGAGGGTTGCTGGTCGAGTCGTTCTTGAAGATCTCATCCACGTTCTGGACTTCGGTGACGTATTCGTCATTGTATTTGCGCCATATCTTCTTGTCAAAGTCGAAGATGTAGATATAGTAATGGCCGAATGAGACTGAGCCATGATGCACAAAAACGGCATACAGTCGATATGGGAGGTTATGGAAATCGGCAAATTGGCTGGAAATCATGGTCTGCGTATCCTGGATTTCTTGGTCGACAGCTACAAAAAGAGTCAACACGTCTGTTTCAAAGGAAGTAGCAACGCCAGAACTCTTACCTCGCAGGTCGGTCTCTGCCTTGTGGGCAAGAGACTCGAGACCTTCCAGTAACTCCGTGCTAGCCACAGCATTCATGGAGTCGGACCTGAACTCCGCTCCGGCCTCAGTGTCGTTCTCATTGCCGGTCTCAATGCCGTTCTCATTGTCGTTCTCAACGTCGTTTTCGTTGTCGTTCTCAACGTCGTTCTCAATGGAGTTCACATCTTGAAGTGCGGTTTTAACTCTACGGAACAATGTTGCAACATCGACACCGGTGCCCTCCTACGGAAAAGAAAAATGTTAGCCGTGTAGACATTGACTGAGAATATTCGATACCTTTGTCCTGAGAAGCTCTTCTCGGCGAGCCTCGAGCCTCTTCAGAGACGCCTTCCACTCCCAGCATTGAGTTCGTCGATCCACAACATCTGGATTTTTGGTGTCCATGTATCGATCCATGTAGATCGTTTCAAGCAACCCGAGATGGTTTGTAGATTTGAACGAACATTTCTTCACAGGATCAAACTGAACCCGTTGCACCTGGATCTGGAGAACAGGCGGAAGCTGGCTGATGGAAGCGAATTGCTCGGCCACAGAGTTTTCCACGCTGATCTTTTGAATATCAAATGCCCCATCGATGGCATCGTAGATGTTTCTAGATCCGTGAGCAACATCAACCTTGATGTCACACCATCGTTCGTCCTTCGAACGTGTGCCTTTATCGGTGGAGATGTAAGAGCGGGTTTGGCCGTAGAACAAGCTGATGAGAGGGTTAAAATAGGTACAATCGTGTACGGCTGTCATGACTTACTCTTTGACCTGGTCAAGCTGTTCACCGTCACTGCCAATGCCTCGAGGCTTGATGGCGCACTGGCTTTGGAACAGAACCTTGTTGATGACTTCTGTCACATCCTGTTGGGCACCAATTTCCACCTCCTCCTTCAATTGTTTTTCCCGATCAACTTGAGGGAGGTTGCGAGGAGGGACGGGGGGTGGTAGTATTTCCGATGCACTGTCGTCTAGGTCGAGATTCATGTCCTGGGGAGATCCTGCTTCTGCTTGATCCGACATTTGGTCCAAGTCTGGGGGGTTGTTCTCCTTGTCTTCAATAAAGAGTCCAGGTGCATCGTCCATGCTGTTATCCGAGACCAATGTTATATCGCTTCCGTTATCGCTGGCGGTCGCGTTTCGAATAGGTACGGGATCAGTTTGGACAGAAGATGAAGCGGGCTCCATCTGCCCACCGAGAAGGGACTGCGGAGGCCCAAGGGGCCCTAGAACAGGAGCACCGTTGATTTCACCAAGAATATCGGATCTAGTAGCAGTTATCGTCGATCGACGACGCATTGCCGCCTCATTGCTTGGGCTAATCAGGGTCAACCGAGCAAGTTCCTGGCCGGGAGAAACCGATATCTGAGATGAGGTGATCATGCTACGAAACAAAGTCCGGAGCTCATTGAGGACTGCAAAGGACAGGGTCAGTTTGAGACATATAGCCATCGGCACTGACAAAGTAACTTACATCGCTGAGATCGCTCGACCTCCTTCTTCGTCACCTTTCGTGATCCCACTTGTTTATTTGCGAGGTTTTCCTCGTCATTCAAATCCACCTGGAAGCGTTCAAAATCCAAGACCAACTCACGGAAAGGACGGACGGAGAAGTAGAACTGCAACAGGCTGTTCAAATAGCATGTATTGCCGATGTTCTGTAGTCCGACTGGCCAATCTTTCATGCTTCTGTCAGGCTCATTGGAGATACCTGCCATATTCCTCAACGTCGAGCTGTCCAGTTGCTTGGCAATGATCGTCAGAGCTTGATTGTATCTCTCGGCATCCCCTGGGTTTTCATCGATGCAGATAGTATATGCGGCTATGATTGCCCCATCGTCGACAGTTCGATCAGGGATTTGGAGTAGACGATAGGCATCACCAATGTCCATTTCACCAGCAATCATCTCTCCGGTATTGATGAAGTGATTCAATGCGACCGATTTGCGGGACTCGGCAATGAGTGCCACGGCGCGTTTCGCCAGTTCTTTGGTAAGTGGGTTGTCATTGACCTAATTTATAACAATATTAGCTGGCGTCCGACTCACAAATGAAGCGATCGAGAAACATACCTTTGCGGTGTACATGGTCATGACGAAATCATCTGGGGTCTGATCCTCAACCCCCAAGAAGACATTCGCTTGTTCAACGGTAGAAACACCTATTGTCAAAATTAGCACACATTAAAGTCTAGAAATGACATGACTTGGTCAACACACGCTCTTCTGATGCCGCTTTAATACGCGCACTTCCCCTAGAGTCGCCAATTCGCCACAACTGCTGACGTGCTTCAGTCTCTTGCGTTGTAGAGCTGAGGAAGGCATAGAATTTGCCAATGATGCTGTCATCAGTGAGGTTTGGATCATCGAAGTGGAGATTGAAGTATTGATACGCGACGACGACATCCTCAACGGTGTACTTCCCTTGTTCATATGCTCCCTGGACGGCTATGTCAATGATTTCCTTGTCTTCGGCACCACGCAGAAAGCCGACAGCGTTGAGAGCAGACAAGTACAGCGAGGTTCTGCCAGGATCGACTGAGATCTGTCGATTGTATGCTTCGACCACAGTCGACGAGGACATATCCTCCATCACCCCCAGGTCTTCATAGAAACTAAAGAAACATGTATCAGATCCAGTCCTATCAATTTGAATATAGGGTGTACGAACGGAGCATGAGCCATTTCAAACTCCTTATAACGAATAGCTTTCGGATCTGGAGCGGGAATTAGTTCGGATTTTCTAGGGCCAAGGGGCACAATGTACACACAGTCTTGCGCTTCTAGAGCGCAGGAAATAACGGGGATGGCAGAAGAAGGAAGATCGGGAATCTGGCTTCCTTTTCTTTCCGAGGCTGGTCTATGATATATCAAGACCAGTAATTCATGCAGCAAGTCGTCGAGAAAGAGACGCAATGTGTCTTGGTAAGGTTTTTCGGCGACAGAGGTCGGTTTGGGTGGGTGCCATGCCCCGGTATCCTGAGTCAATTCGTCAGCGAAAACAACAACAGTGAACGATATGAGAAAACAATATCTTGATAACAAACCTTATCATACACAAACTCAAGAAATTCAAGTAATTCTTTACAAGGAGCACCTTCCACGCCGAAAGAGTGCATGAACCTCTTATTGACAGAGGAAATGGGCTTGCTGCGTTGTGGGTTTCGTAGGGCATTGGTAATGTACAGACGCAGATTATCCAATACATTGATCGGCTGCGGATCACCCATGCCTTCCATGGACTCAGCATACGCTGCAGTGGCCTCTTGGGCTCGTTTCCGCAATAACTCTCTATCGGTCATCAAGCGGATGAATTCCGGGCTCAAAATCGGTGAAAGAATTCGCAAAGACACCATAGCTGAGCATGAGATGTAGGAACATTGGTAGTGATACGTCTCCGCGATCTGCCCCTTGGGAGTTTCTTCTGGTAGCGCAAGGCCATGCTTCTGCCGTCCTGATTTGTAGACCAAATGATGCAAGTGTTTCCCCTGGTTCTGACCGAATGCGCCCATATGGCTGGTGTAGTTGACCACCACTTGAAGATGAAAACGACACTTTGTGCATATGGCTGAGACCTTGGACGAAGTACCAGGCCTTCTCCGGTGCTCTGCCTCTGACATGAAGGTCTGGTCTTCTTTCAAGGCATATTCGTGTCGACATGCTTCTGGTGATATGAATCCAGGTAAGCCTTTGTAGCCTTGTGGATAAATGGGTGGAGTTTCTGAGAGGAGATTACGGCCTGTGTCTGGATCGTGTGCTGGGTCATACAGCTGGACATCATAAATGAGACGTGGCGCAGTCTTTCCTGTATGATTGATAGAAAATATTGTAAGCATTCGCTCGAGTTATATTCCGGGTTTGCTGGTCCGAGCTCTTACCGGCCTTCTGTACAGACGCCATGAAGTACTGTGTTCGGGCCTGTAGGCCTCACGCAGTTTGAATATGCGCTTTGATGCTATATGATTCTTCTCAAAGGTTAATTCTCATCGAAGCTCAGAAAAGCACGCAATGCAACAGCTCAGCTGTGATGACAATATTGTCAAATGATGAAATCGCCACTGTATGGTATGCGGGGAGCCCACTGCACTTGGCAGCAAGCACTGGCAAGCTTTGGAACTCTCTCCTCCACGAACTTGACAGTTTTGAGATCAAGACCCACTCTTAGAAGGCAGTAAGCAGTATCTAAGGGGATTCCCGATGATAGCAAATGAATCAAAATGTTCAATATGAAAGAGGCATCAACATAACCATGTAGAGCTCCGTTGGGTGGGCGGTGGCGGTCAGGTATGGCAGAAAGCCGACTTCCAAAATCCTATCGCCAACCACATCTCATACCGCAAGCAGTCCATCCCTGCTATCAGCACACACACCATGGCGCACCACGACGAAGAAGATAACACCTATCACCCCAAGGATGCCATTTCGGCAGCCCTGAAGGCCACCGCGCTGACCGGAACCGTCGGTCTCTTCGCAGCCGCTGTGCAGAACACGCTCACCAAACAGAACGTCGGAACTCTGGGTGTCTTCGTCCGTGGCGGTGGCATCATTACTACCTTTGGTATGGGCTTTTTTACCTATAAGTGATGGAGCAATGGCTAAATTAGACATGTTAAAGCGGCCATGGGTGGTACCTATGAGTTCATTAAGAGCGCTTCCGCCAACCTGCGTGAGAAGGAGGACCACTACAACGTCGCTCTGGGTGGCTTCTTCTCCGGTGCCATTCTCGGTCTCCGAGGTAAGTTCTCGAAGTGAATTGAGTATATGGTTATGTACTTGGAGCTAATCGGGTTTACCTCAGTCCGCACACTCCCCGCTGTGCTCGGATATGGTGTCGCCCTTTCCACCGCCATGGCCGCCTTCGAGTACACCGGTGGCACCCTGTTTGGATACCAGTCAGATCCATCCGTGGACGAGTTCGATCGCCGGACAGCGTTGCGCACGGCATTCCAGACTTCCGCAGAGCAGACCATCAAGGAGTTGGGTGAAGGACGTGGTATGTGCTTCTTATCCGGGTAGCGACATTGTCTACCGATACTGACTCCACTAGGTATCTACGGCCCCGGCTACGAAGAGAGACGCCGGGAGCGTCTCAAGGCGAATTACGGCATTGAGGTTCCCACATCCCCAGTTCCTGCATCATAAGCCTACATTCTTCCCAGTCCGCCGTCCGCCTTTTTCCATTGCTTTGTGTAAATTATCCCCCCATATCACGCTGCCTACCGTACGGACAATCCCATCCGATTTGGTTTTCTTTAGTCTCCAGGAAATTCAAAACAATACACATTCAAGATTGGACCAACAATTGAGCAGTTCTGGGTATACTTGCTGGAAGTGACTACCAGTGTAGTAGCTAGTCCAGGCCCCTCAATCAAATCTAGACTACAAGACCCGTAGGATCAATCGCATGGAACTCAAGAAGTATTACGGAGGAATCTAGAAGTAGATATCCATGGATGTACCACTCTGGTGTTCAATAATAATACTCTAAAATGAGGGGGTATCCCCGGACCACCCGGGAGCCAATGACAGTGCAGGTATATCAAACAAGTGGAGGACTTCGAGTATGTTTCCAGGCTAAAAGGGACAAATGTAGTATAAGATCATAATGAATCGTGGCTTTGTACAGAATATGTCAATCAGTATATCCAGGTCACCTTCGAGCATAATTACCATGCTTGAACTATGTACAGAGTACGTGCAATTGTAATTCTCAATTCATCTACTCCGTACTGTCTTCAGAATAGGTAATTTTGCATCAGTTCAATAGAACGAAATGAATCGAAGAAGCAACTGTCTTATACGCCTATTTGGTGAGCTTTGGCATTTGATTTTGCCCAAATGGCTCATATGATGTCGAGCGCCACATTTTCTCGGCCGGGGGGGAACTTTACCCACTTTTTCTGCGAGTACATAGATGCACCATCTAATCTATGTAGTCAATCTGGAGGACTTCAGTTGGAATTACAGTCTTGAACCTAGGGTAATACTTAAACTGTTATTATTAGCTGCTCAAATCTCAATGAATCTTAAATATGAGAAATACATCTCAGTATTTTCCTAGCTTAGTATTGCTAAATTAGAGCCGGCCTCGGAGTTACCTCGATGTCGATTTTCTGTGCGTCATGGTTTACATAAAATGAAAATTTAGCTTGGCGCTTTATCTTGTATACTAGTTGTCTCTTTATTCACTAATAAATATGAATCCATCCAGTTGAGAGCGTATAATGGATATCTGCACTCTCGAATAAACTATCGTACCTTGTTCCTTACCATATGACATTGAGTTCTGTGTTATATTGTACCTCTGGATATTGGAACCTTATATATCACCTGACGTGCATACATCGCACGTGATGCCAAGCAACAGCCCACTCTCGACCTCGGGGCCCGGACGAAATCCACTCACAATATGTAACAGCCAGATAAGAAAGTCTCGACAGTACCCAGGTGAAGATGTAGTATTCCGAATGAGCCGGGGAGAACATGTCAAAGTCGCTGCCCTTGATCTGTCCTTCTCCCCAGATCCAAACGTCATGCACTGTTCATCACTAGATGATCAGGGGAAGGGTGCCTCGCCCCCTTTATTTTTCTTCTCCTATATTGTATGAGCCACAGATCGAGTGGATCTTGTGCACGAGAGGATCGCAATAATAATCTTATTCCAATAGTCTTGCTCGTTCTGTTCAGGGGCGGAGTCCCTCAGCCACTTCTCGTACAGGCAGCCATATAAAAGGGAAGTATACAAGTCCCCCGTTGCTATTTACAGTATAGGAACCAGAATGAATGGAAACACTGTAAAGACGGCTTTGAATTCCGATCCAGTACGTCAACCACGAAGATATAGAGAACGAGAAGTCAAATGGCTTTTTCCCCCTCTCTTTTCTCCCGGTCGTCCCGAAAGCCTAGTTTCTTCCAAGGTCGTCACCATCTTGCATCTCGTAGACGTCATCGTCAGAATTTCCTTTCCCTTTAATTCCCCAGCTCTGCCCTATGTCGGCAGCCCAATCTCTTGATCTTCTCCTTTTTTTTTCCAACCGAGTGGGGCGAATCTCATGCTGCCAGTACCTCCCCCGCATACAATTGCTCCGTTCGCCAGGTAACCAGAAACGACGCCACTTTAGGCCTGTAAACTCTTGGAGCTATTATCCTGATTATCCTGATTATCCCATTTTTTCCCTTTCTTTAATTTTTTACTTCCAACTTTCGGCCAAATTTCGATCCTCTGCTTCGCTCCCTATCCTGAGACACCTGCATAAACCATAATATCCCACGTTCCCGCAGATATGGCGATGGCCGCGCGGCCACAGACGCCCTCACAGGATGCATACATGGTCCCGCAAATTGACCCCGGGGCTTTGAGTCGCGGGTACGGCCCGCGCTCGACTCTGTCGCGACCGAATTCATTCGCCGGCACGTCAGCATACCAGTACAGCTCCGGCGCCCTCGAGTCGTCGCAGGTTCCCCACAACCCCCGTTTCAAGGAGGACTTTGATACCGTCAGCCACCGCAGCTCGGCGTTCGATCGCCCTGGAGTGCAGCGCTCTGTCTCCACCATGTCGCACGTGCAATCCTCGAGCCCGTCCCGGTCGAGCACCTTGCGGAAGAAGGCCTCGCTGAGTAAGAAGGGGAGCTTGCGGCGCAGTGGGAGCCGGAGGAGCATGCGCGCCGGCAGTGTGAGGAGTCTGAGCTTGGGCGATCGCGAAAAGTATCACGCCGATGGCGCGGAGGATGTCAATAGTGCTTTCCTGACTCCGGTCCCTACTAATGGGAACCCGACCGAGGTGCTGGCGAATCGGTTTGGAGGTGGGCTTTTACTCTTGTCAATGCGCGGGCTAGGGAGACTTTGCTAACTAGGATTTGTAGCTTGGCGCAAGCTTCTGAAGGACTTGATTCTCTTTTTTAAGGAGGTGCAGAAATCCTACGAAACTAGAGCAAAGCTGTTCCTATCTGCTTCGAGCGTTGTTAATAACCAGACTCTTCCACCGGGCCTGCTTCAGCCAGGTGGTCTGGCTGATGCGACGGAGATCCTCCAGAATTTCCACCGCCAGGGTTATACCGAGGCCAATAAAGCTGTCGAGGTGGAGGTCGAGGTGATCAGCCAATTGACTGGTCTCCGCAGTGATCTTCAGAAGAAGACTAAGGAGATCAAGAGTCTCTCGGCTGATTTCAAGAATACCGTCGACAAGGAGGTTGACGGCACACGCAAAGCCGTACGGAACTTGCAAGAGGCTCTTGGGCTTGTCGATACCGATGCCTCTGCGACATCGGGCAAAGGTGATCCATTCATCCTGCGCCTGGGCGTGGAGAAGCAGGTCGAGAAACAGATCGAGGAGGAGAACTACTTGCATCGGGTTTGTGATAACTTTGTCTATCCTAGTAGCCTGTCTAATGTTGCTTCTATAGGCATTCTTGAATCTAGAGAACTCTGGTCGTGAACTAGAGGGGATTGTCGTGAGCGAGATCCAGAAGGCATACAATGCGTACGCTAGTATCCTCCGACGCGAAGCCAATGAAGCTCTTGATACCGTTGAGAAGCTCCAGGCGGGTCCGATCTCCATGCCCCAAGATTTCGAGTGGAACCAGTTTGTTGCCGACACAGAAGAACTTGTCGATCCTCGGATTCCTCTCCGGGATGTAGAAAGCATCACATACCCTGGCAAGGATCATCCAGCAGCAGCTGAAGTCCGAGCTGGTATGTTGGAGCGTAAGAGCAAGTATCTCAAGAGTTATACTCCTGGCTGGTGAGTACCTATCTTCTTTACCGTGCGGTTTGAAGCCATTATCTAATCAACTCTAGGTATGTGTTGTCGCCAACACATCTTCACGAGTTCAAGTCGGCAGATCGTGTAGCATGGCAGACGCCTGTCATGTCTCTCTATCTTCCAGAGCAGAAACTCGGCTCCCACTCACAGGAAGACTCAAGCTCCCATAAGTTTATGCTGAAGGGTCGACAGACTGGCGCAATGCACCGAGGCCACTCGTGGGTCTTCCGCGCCGAATCCCACGAGACCATGATGTCCTGGTATGAAGATATCGAAGGCTTGATTGGCATGACAGGAGAGGCGCGAAACGCCTTTGTCCGGCAGCATGTCCGCAGCGTGAGTGGCAGGTCGGTGAATGAGGTGATGGAGGACGACGAAGCCGATCGCACTCCATACGCCGCGGAGTCTGCGGTCATGACTCACGACCGCCCCACCTCCTCTCGCCAGGCTGGAGGCGCGTTCCCCAGCGACGTCCAACTTGACCGAAACCTCCAAGCGCCCCTGTCACCTTCCAGCGGGGATAGCTCCGCTGGCAGAGATATGTTAGGGGCTGCTGGGTCCCTCCCCGATGGGTCTAGTGCCTTTAATGACAGCTTGCGACCAGTAGGTAGCGGCGACGGACGCAACTCCTACCAAAGCTACAGATCCAACGACGGGACCGATGAAAGGTCTCGCCCTGATAGTAACCAGCACGATAGCTACTACGGTGATTGGATCGGACCGTCCGTGGCAGTGGCTAAGAAGAGGCAGAGCCAGCAGCTGGAACCCCCGAATCGGGATGACCGCGATATCCGGTCCGATGGAGATCAGGCTTCCCTTGCTGCCGTCTCGGGTGTCGGTATCTCTAACCGTCGCGATCAGTCGGCTCCTGCCCAGATTGATCGTCGGGAGAGTGTCTCTACGGTGCCCACCAACACCAATGCGACTGAATTTACGAACCATACCAATCCTACTTCGGTAGATGATCACGAACTCGACCTTCCTAAGATCCAGACCGTTGGTCTTGGGAATGGTCCTATCCACCAAGGTCTCGAATCAGACAGCGTAGCCAAGGTTCCAATTCTGCTGCGTTCCAATACAGACAACTCCATTGCTCTGGATATGAAGATGCCAGGCCGTTATCCTCGTACCAATGTGGCAGCATAGGGTCCCCACCCTTTCTATCTTCATCTCCACATTTGTTCCTCCATCTTTCTTACCCCATTTCTTCTATTTCTCTTTGATGTTCTCTTTTATCTGTACATGTCCCACTCCTCGCCCCTTACACAACTCGTCCGTTCCAAGGCGTTTTGGTCCTCTCGTTAGGACTGTTTCCACACCGGATCAGTCTCTCGCACAGCATAAAAGTCATGCTGCATCGGCGTTCGTTTTACAGACAGGGTGTGGCGCAATGGATGTTTTTGTCTTTGTTTATTGTTCCGCGGATTGATTCTTGATTCCCAAGGCTGGGTACTCAGCACCCATTTCTTTCGTTTTGTTTCCCGGTAGGACTTATTGTTTGAGGTTTTTTATTGAAGTGAGGGGGTCTTTTTCTTATTAAAGATGCATACGAAGAGTTGTTTGTGTTTGCAGCCCATGATTCAGTTTGCTTGATGGTAGTCTTTTCTAGTAGTTCTCTTAGTAGTCCTGATAAAGTTCTATAGGTAAACGGCAGAGAAGGCTTAAATAGTGCAAATAACTTTTCCATGTATAACCTTTGAGCATGGTCCAGTTGAATGGATACAGTCTTCCGAAAGGTTACAGGCCGTGGCAATTTAGTAACTTAAATACGCCGTGCAGCCAGTCATGAGTGCAGATGTCCAATGGTGTATGTTGGTGCGCAGGAGGTGAGAGGAGCGATAAGAACGATAAGGCTGGTCTGTATGGTCAGGAGCTACATTGATGTACATATCTAGGCAGTACATAAGTCATAGTCTAGTTTGTGATATTTCTTTAGGAATGAAAGAGCGGGTTGATATTCACATTACCCCCTAACAGCTTCGTTCCTTCCCCCGTGATATCTCCATAGCTGTATACACCAGGTCCTAACTATATGCCGGGGCGGTGACGGGTTTTGCCCGAGGTGTTCAAGTACATATCAGAATTCTGTATTTTCTTCTCTCCATGATATTTCCCCAAGAGTCTTTGTAGGATCCGGAATCCAAAGAACAACACTTCTTCCGCTCCCTTCTACCTTCACCTCCCCCGTCTCCCATCGTTCGTCTTTGTACAACGTATCTCGGCGCTCCATCGAGCCCGCAATCATGGGTACGTTCTCGCGCGTCCTCTGGATTATTACACTCTGCTTTTTCGTATCTTTGTATTACTCGTTTGTTACTCTCATCTGCCTGGTACACTCGAAGGGTCCCCGGTCAATTTCAGCCCTTCATCCAATCACCTTCTCAGGTCTCCCCCCCCCCAAGCGTTGAACCTTGACGCCTGGTACTTTCATTTCCCCCCGCTTCTTCTCCTTTTCCTATTTCTTCCTATCCTTTGGTTTCTTGAGATTCTCCGCTGACAGCCTCATCCGCCCAGCCGACGTCTATCGACCATACCAAGTAAGTTTGCCGCGAGCCCCGTGTTCCTTTTTGTCTTCCTCTTCCCCAGCGACTCTACAAAACATTCCAATATGTGCGCATGGCTCGCAGCTCTATACCAGAGGTCGCTATCGCTGGCGTGTGGTCAGTGCGGGGGTGGGAACCGCCATGTCTACTTGATCAGATATCTGCCGGATCTGGAGATCAGTGGGCCACAAGGCGGAAGCACATTACTATCACGTTATGTGATTCTGAAAATTAATTGTGATGTGTGCACAAACACCCTGTGCCAGTGGCCCTAAGCTCCTACTCCGGAGGTCCTCAGTGTATCCGAGACAAACTCCCCCAGAGCTAGTGGTCACATGACCCACGCCGCAGACGACCCCCCTCGGAGTTGCGACTTCCACATAGCGACTGCCGTCTGAACACGTCTTTTGCTCCGTCCCATCTCTTTTTCATCAATTTTATACGTTATAATATTGCCCCGCTTTTGCGACCGCCGTTGCTATCTACTTTTTGTTCATGTCTGACCAGATCCAGCGTGAGAGGTCTCGCTCACCCCGTCGCCGCTCTTCTCGCAGTCCCCCCCGACGCGCCCGTCGTTCGTACTCCCCCCGGAGTCGCTCCCGCAGCCGTGGTGACCGTGAGGAATACCGCCGTCCCGAACGCCGTTCCAGATCTCCCTTGAGTGCTTCCGGAGCAGCAACCGGACCCCCAGGATCAGGCTCTCCTTTCGGTGGACGCAGTGGATATACCCCCGCTCGATTCGAGGATCGTGCCGCCAAGGAGAATATGATGCAGACCGTTCGCGATTCGTCCCAGCAAGACCGCCGGGTCTATGTCGGCAACCTTTCGTATGATGTCAAGTGGCATCATCTTAAGGATTTTATGAGACAGGGTGAGCAGGGATTGCGCATTGGAATTTGGTGATTTTTTGGAACGATCGAAGCTAATCCTGGTTGCGCCTTGTTTTTTACAGCTGGAGAAGTTCTCTTTGCAGATGTTTTGCTTCTTCCTAATGGAATGTCGAAGGTGGGCGCTTATATGTAGAGGGGCTAGTTCCTTCTATTTCCCCGATCTTTCTCGTGGTTTGTATAGGGTTGACGGGTGGACCTTGGCTGTCCTGATTTGTAGGGATGCGGGTGAGTACTTTCTTGTCTTTCTTCAAATTGACGTTCTAGCTGACATGTATACTAGGATTGTGGAATATGCAACCAGGGACCAAGCACAAAACGCCGTGAATACGCTCAGCAACCAGAGCCTGATGGGTCGCCTTGTTTATGTTCGTGAGGTATGTCTTCAAAGATTCCATGGTGTTGGTGTTGCGATTAGTACTGACTTTTCCCCAGGACCGTGAATCCGAGCCCCGTTTCGTTGGTGGTCCCCCACGCGGTGATTTCGGCCCCGGTGCCCGAGGTGGATTCGGTGGTGGTGGCTTCGGAGGCCCCCAGGGTGGTGCTGGTGGCGGTGGCCGCCAAATTTATGTCTCAAACGTTTGTCCCCTCTTTTTACCCCCGTTATGCTAAGTTCTGCAGGCTTTGTTGACCGTTCGGTATAGCTTCCTTTCAACGTTGGCTGGCAAGACTTGAAGGATCTGTTCCGTTCAGCAGGTAAGTGCGGATTTTTGGACTTGGATTCCTACGTTTTTCTAGTGTAAGGTGAATTGACCGGGACTCCGTATTACAGCCCAGCAAGGTGCCGTGATCCGTGCCGATGTGCACACCGACCCTACCGGACGCCCCAAGGGCTCCGGTATCGTTGCTTTTGAGTCTCCTGATGATGCGCGCAACGCCATTGCGCAGTTCAACGGATACGATTGGCAGGGTCGTCCCCTTGAAGTTCGCGAAGACCGGTTCGCTGGTGGTGGCCCCGGCTTCGGTGGTCGTGGCGGCTTTGGTGGTGGCTTTGGCGGTCGTGGCGGCTTTGGCGGTCCTATGGGTCGTGGAGGCTTCGGTGGTCGCGGAGGCTTTGGCGGTGGCTTCGCTGGACGCGGCGGCTTCGGTGGCTCCCCTGGTAGCCACGGTGGTTTCCCCGGTGCCGGTGGGTTTGAGCACGGTGGTGCTCCTCCTGTTCCCTCCGGACCCCCCAACCCTTTCACTGATTATGCCACTTCCAACGGTGACAAGAGCGCTGTCATCTATGTTCGCAACGTGAGTTTTGGGATGCGCGATGGGCAACATATGGAATGCTAACTTCGATTAGTTGCCCTGGTCTACTTGTAATGATGACCTGGTTGATCTGTTCTCCACCATCGGTAAAGTCGAGCGCGCTGAAATCCAGTACGAGCCTAACGGCCGCTCCCGCGGTACTGGTGTGGTTCAATTTGACACCGCTGATACTGCTGAAACTGCAATTGGTACGTTGCATTTGTATCGTGACTGCCAATCCATATACTAATATTCTTCCCTCACAGCTAAATTCTCCGGCTACCAGTACGGTGGTCGTCCCCTGGGCATCACCTTCGTGAAGTACATGAACGCTGGCCCAGGTCCCGAAGAGATGATGGAAGGCCAAGAGTCGACCGTCGGTCTGACCCAGGACCAGATCATGTAAAGCACTTTCGTCCTTGTTTTACCTAGTCACTTTCTTTGACAGGGGGGCGTCTGGCTTTTTTTTCGCAATGTCTTGTTCATGATTCCCTTATTCCCATTTCAGTTCTTTCGTGGCTTCGTCCTCGCAAAATGGGTTTCGAGTGCCTATTTGGGCTGATCAATTGTTTCCAAAATGGAATGAGCATCTTCTTCCACTTGTGTTTCGTAGGTTTGCTAGTCTTTATCCTTTGAAAATCGTATGTATCTTAGCAGTTGGTCTAACGGCCCGGGCTTTCGTATCCATCGTGGTCGTACTTGTCCTTGTCGCCGTTCGTTTATGTGCCTTCGCTTTCTTTCATCGTATCTTTTCTGGTTTACATATATATTTCTGGGTCACGTACGGTGGTCATTTCGAGGTATCTCCTCGGTTTGCTTTGCTGCATTCAAGTCCTCGGCAGATCTAAATACTTAATCTACGTACAATGTCTGCTACAGTTGGACTCATTGCTATCACAGGTATACTATTAGTATATAGTTATGATCCCACTTTGATGTTGTTCAATAATATTATGGTTGAAAGATGGTCTGCGGAAGTTTCATCTTGTATCTTCTGTATGTATATCCCATACAAAATGTACATATGTCTGAAGCCGAGAATCAGACTCAATCATTAGCTCGATATAAATCAAGTATACCGTCCAGTCTACACACATATATAGCAATCAAAATAGACAGACATCAAGTATAATACTATACATATGTAGATTCTGCAATACACCAGATCCATCTCGATCTTATACTACAACGCACGGACCAACCCAATCCATCTCCAACAATCACATCTACTCCGTATCTCCCCATTGCACCACCCAAGCACACTCAAACCATGTCCTACCTCGCCCGCGCTCTCCCCAAAAGGGTCCTCGCCCCCTCCGTGGCCCAATCCCTCCGCCAAACCCGAGGACTAAGCACAACAACTCTCCAAACCACACCAAGCACCCGCACCACGCAACTCACACCCCGAACAAACCAACCCCGACAATTCCGCCACCGAAGCTACCACTCAGACCTCCACGCCCGGCTCCCAGACCACTCATACACAAACTCCCAAACGGCAATCCTAACCTCCGCGCTCGCCCACGTCCCCACACACGGCTTCTCAGCCACGGCACTAACCCTCGGCGCGCGGGACGCCGGCTTCCTCGACGTCTCGGTGCAGCTGCTCCCCCGCGGCGAATTCGACCTCATCCTCTTCTGGCTTGCTAGTCGTCGGGGTCTGCTGCGCGGGAAGGTCGAGGAGGGCGGGTTATTCCGGCGCATTGCGGCGGAGAAAGGGAAGGATGTCCATGAGCTTTCTGTTGAGGAGCGGGTGCGGGGACTGCTTTTGGAGAGGTTGAGGATGAATGCGGATGTTAGAGATGTTTGGCAGGATGTGAGTTTTTTTCCTTTCTTATCCCTTCCTTCCTGGGATATATCAAGAAGGACATGATTTAGAATTGGATTGGGATGCTAATCTATGTCTATATCTAGGCTCTCGCGCAAATGTCGCTCTTGGCTAATATCCCCCTCTCTCTTACGGAACTGCATGCCCTTGCTTCGGATATCCTTACTCTTTCTGGTGATGACACTGTTGATGCTACTTGGTACACGCGTCGTCTGGCCGTGTCGGCTATCTATGCCAGTGCTGAGGTTGTCATGACCCGTGACCCGACGCCGGATCTCGTGGAGACGGCGGCGTTCGTAGAGCGTCGCTTTGATGATCGGAAGGCGCTTGCTGATAAGATTACCGGCATTGGACAGTGTGCTGGGTTTGGGTGGAATACTGCTATTGGGCTGGGGCGAAGCTGGGGGTTGAAGATTTAAGCGTCTTCATTCTTAGTATATATGGCTAGGCCCATACTTAAGTCATTCACCGAGGCAAGCTTTGCTTGGTGGGACATAGATAGATTGTACTTTTACCAACTATGTTACTATTGTAAACTACTCCATTCTTGTCAGCAAATAGACTCTATTGTGTTATTCTAGGATCCGGTCCTCGCTGACGTCCTCGCAAATATCCATGCCATGCAAAATAACTAGAGACATAGCCTACCATGTCCCAATCTGTTCACCCGAACAGCCGCGCTTGATGCCAAAAAAAACAACCTGAAGGGAGCCAAAAAGTATATCTAATAATGAAAAAGAAAGGAATTAAACAGATCGAGAAGTAACGCTCACTGCAGGGAAACATTCTGCACCGCCTCCTCTACACTGAGATGCACATGGTCGTCGCCAGCACCGTCGGCTGGGATATCTGTCTTGTCCGCAGTAACCTCGATCGGCGAAATCACCAGTGTGGGAGACTTTGGCGAGAACGGATCCGAAAGAACGCTGCGCTCTGGTGACTGTGACAGCTCTTGCTGAGCAAGCACGGTGGTATTTTCAGCAGTTTCACGCTCCTTCGATGGACTAACACTGCTGGCCCCGCTCTCGACCGAGTCACTCTGTCCATGCTGGGGTTTGCCACGTCCCCAACGGCGCGCTTTTGGCGGAAGTGGAGCCTGACCATGTCGGCTTGTTCCCGCTGCTGGGACGGGCCGGTGGTGACTTGAGGATGGTGTGTTATGGCTGGAACGGCGTGGTGGCGGGAGGGCCGGGGGAGGGTTTGATACAGATCGTCGCGGTGGACCTGAAGTTGTGAGAGTGGAACCTGAGCCCGAGTCGCGATCACTGCTATGTGTCTGTGGTGGTGGTGGTGTGCTGGGAGTGATAACAGTGGTGGGACTGACTTCGATGCCTTCGGGGATGGTGTTCCTGTCACTGCTTGTGCCGGCAGAGTGGTGCTCGTCTTCATCCACGGCCATACGGCGCCCGCGCCAGCGTCGAGATTTCGGTGGTTCTGGCTTGACCTTTGGTGGTCGGATTATTGGCGTCTCGTCACTGAGAGCGGCGACAGGGACTCCGTCTTTGCGGCTGGGGGTGATTATGCCTGGTTTTTCGTGGTGTGCTGCAACGGCCTGAACGCTCAGTGAAGATGCAGATGCGGGCTCTAGGTTCATGCCGAGCCGGTTGATTAAGCTGTGTTTCCGACTCCCAGGTGTATTATACGAACTATACGAGTCCGTTCGCGTTGGTGATGCGGTACCAGGTGAGCTAGCGACTGTGCTTGACCGTGAGAGTGTGTGAGAAATATCGAGTGGTTCGCCCATATCTACAGGTGACGCATGCCGCTCGCCTTCTTCTAGGACAGTCTCAATTGTAGTTGTTGTCTCTTGAGTGGGGGTATCTTGCGTTTCTGCGGCGTCGGGCTGTTCAACATTACGTAGCCAATCCACTGTCGCACACCGGGCGACAAGTCGACGGGTTGTTTCATCGACCTCTTCAAAATGCAGTATTTTCTCGTGTTCTGCGTCGTTCCCATATGAGACTTGTCCCCGGACAAGGACGCTGAGTAGCCCTCGAAGTCCATCACGCTTGTAGTGCGGCGGGTATCGTAGTTGTGTATGAGCTAGAAGCGGGTAAAGAACACGCAGGTAAGTATGCCTCAGAGCAGCGGCCTCCTCGGGTAGATCGAGCAAGTTCCGGATCAATATATCCACCAGAACGTGTAGATCGTTCGTGAAGAAGTATTCATATGTGCTAGGGGTGGTAAATATGAGATAGAGAAGCTTCAATGTAAGCAATTGAAGGGACGTCTCGGCTGCATATTGTCAGTCATTGCCTTTATTGAATAGGAGGATCCGTTACCTTCACGGTTGATAAGAAGAATGATGTTCTCCCCGAATGTCTTATACATCCCACCATATACTGATAGGATCTTGATGACCTTGTTGGTCAAATGACCAGAGGGCCGGCCGTCCACCGGGTTGTGAGCCGAGATCATGAATTGCTCATTCAGAACCAGCTGGTCAATTTGTCAATCCCGTTCTAACCAAAATGATCCTGAAGAAAGTACTCACCAGCACCCGGATCACGGGGTAATGATACGGATCGGTAACATCGTAAGAGAGATCTTCGATGATATCAAAGAGACAGCGGATGAAATCGTCATCCACGAGAACTGCACACAAGCCCCATAATCAGCTACCAGCAGCAGGCACACGTGTATCCAAAACGCACCCAAGTCTTCAATTTTGACCCTTTGTATCCTCGACATCTCATACACAAGGTCCATCAACAAACGATGAAGACCCGCGTCGCCGTCCAGATCCGCCCTCCGCATCGCCTGTATGAGCTCGAGGAGACGCGCAAACGCGCCCTCCTCATTTAGCATCTGAAGCACAACTTCATTCTGTCGTCCGTCAAAGAGGATGAATGACGCAATGAAGTGGAGGGTATCCGGGTCGTCGTCCTGCAGCAGACCGTAGAGAATCTGTCGTCGCACGTAGTCCGCATGTGTGGCGAATATACTCGACGTGAATAGCTTGTAGGAACAGCGTGAGAAATCTGTTTCCGACCGGAGGTATTCATCTAGGGAAGGGCACGTGTGTTAGTCGTAGTGGAAGGAAAGTTGGGAGCGGACGTGGTTTCGGAGTGTCGTTGGGTTTAACATCGCTTCTCGGAGGTCGAAGTGCCATTCACCTTTGTGTTGGGTTGCTAGATCGAGATAGGCTCTGAGAGCGTCGTCGATCTGGTCTTCGGAGTCACAGGGCTTGGAGACGATCGCTTGAAGTTCTGCGAGAACCGGTCAATTGTCATGTCGCATTATCTTGAAAGGAGAAAATAGTGGGCTGAGAACAACGTACCAGTCCAGAACTCAGTCTCCGAGACCTCAGGCTCCATTTCCCACCAGACAGCTCATGCCGGTTTATGTGCCGGCTTGAAGAGTTGGAGAGAGTTGAAGGGCGGGGGATTGGGGGGAATTCAAGAGTCCCACTACGGGCCAACCCTAAGGGACACATTATCTTGTACGTTATTACGAGGTCTATGGGAGATTATGTGTTATAGAACAAAGAACTTTCATTGGTATCAAAATGTAAAACATAATTATGCAAGTGGGCGCAGGAATGGATGCGCTTCGGTATTCCTGTAAAAAGTCAGTTCTTGGTCAGAGTTTGTTTACAGGCTACGTCAGTCACTTACAGAACATATTTATCCAAGTCCACGACAGTAGGGTCGCTGAACAAAAGATAGAAATACTTCAATGTCTCAGATAGCCAGAAAGACTCCATCGTATCCTTGTGGATCGGTTTCTGGGCTGTGACATCGTGGATGGCCGCGTTGGCTAGCTCCGTTCGGGTATACTTCGAAATAGCCTCGAACATCTTCCACCCTTTGTGACGCCAGGATTCGTCGCCAGTCAGACGGTACATGATAAATACTGACTCGATCGCCTCGGGCCGAAGGTAGTATTTCGGTGACGGGATACTGATCATGCCTGCGGGGAGGTGGTCTTTGCCGACTTCGGCGATGTGAGGCGAAGCGGGCGACGAAGACGAACGAGGTGCATCCCGGTCCTCCAGTTCGGTTCCACTGGAAGTAGGGCTCGGGCTTGAAGCAGGAGCAATTGCTTCCGCACGTTTTCCTAATGCGAGTCCATCTCGCTTGGACAACACATCGCTATCGTGGGGGTTTAATGAGCCCGGCATGGGGATGGGAACCGACCCGCTCGAAGATCCTTGGGGTGGATCGTGCGAGATCAAATTCACGCGCTGTTCGTAGCTGCTCTCACCGTCGCGGAACGAATGTCCTGCCCCGGGGTCTATGCGAGAGTAGCGTGCCACACCAATGTCAAAGCGGGCTTGATCCCACTCACATGCCGAGCCTTTCTCACAGGGCAAAAGGCGGAAGCGCTCAGGCATCACTCCGGTTTGTGTCGACTCGTAAGCCCAAACACAGCCGTCCGTCAGTTTGGCTGCAAGTTCCAGATCAGCATCGATGCCGAAGGCCTTGGCTCCTATGGCGAACATGCCGCCGACGAAACACGTCAAGTGAGCGCCTTCGTATTCAAGATCGGATGGAGTGAGCTCTGCAATCTTTCCAGGTGTCATTGGACTAGTGGAGGCCATGAACCGAATATCACGTCCACCTTTCACCATGGGTTGGAAGAGAAGATTCTTGCGGGCCGCAGCGGCTGCCTTTTTATACATATTCATGTATTGCTCGTTCATGCCACCCAGTAGCAGATATTCCTTGGGCAGGTATTCGTAGGTCGAGTCAGCCATTCCTCCCATGGCGTACCCGTTATCGCGGGGTGAATGGGGAAGTATCAAGCCGCCATTGCATTTATCTGCTGGTGTATTTTGCTCGCGTGACTGAATGCGAGGCTCACTGGCAGCTTGCGTATCATTGGCAGGCTGGGCATATCTTTCGATGTCAGGGCTTGTGTCTCGTGGGATGAGCTTCAAATAGCTCTCAAGGTCTGTTGGTGCAGCGTAAGTCTTGTGGGTCACCGTAGTGGTAGTCTCGGTTGCACTAGCAAGGTTTTGCTCGGGTGTAGGGCTACTATCACGCGGAGGTGTGTTCTTGGAGTACTTGGAACATCCCTGTGCATTGACCCGTAGAGGCCACAGTCCCGGGATGCTAGTTAAATCTTGGATTTTCTCCAATTCGTTGGTGATCCGGGCTATCGCATCATAGTATTTGTCCCGCTTGGTCAGTTGAGCCAAACGGGTAAACTCCAAGGAAAGCGACCCAATTTCAGCTAGGCCGGCTCGGGAAGACGCCCGATGCGGCTTCGAAGCATACTCGCTGAGAAAGGTTGGTTAGTCGTCATCTAGATGATCAGGAAGAATTTGTGACAAGACTTACGGGGCCCAGCGATAGTAAAGGTGCGGCATGCGGTTGGGTGTGTCAAAGGCACCAATGAGAACCTCAGCAAGCTCCTCTGCTTTCTCCAAAAGCACTGGGTATCGATGACCAGAAATGTCATAGGCACCCAAAAGACCTCCAAGGTAGCGGATGGTTGTCTCAAACATCGGAATATCTGCTCTCAGTGACGTTTTGAAATCAATGTTTTTGATCAGATCCAAAGCCTCGGAGAATTCATCTTTCAACTGCATAATCCAGAGAGAATCGAGGGAATCGACCAATGTCGCTCCCCAGCCGTTGAATGGGTCTTCAAACTCCTTCGACAGAGGCTTGACTTCGTCATGTCCCATCGCAATCTTCTTATAGCCTCGCCAGGCATGCGTGAACTCGGCCTTGATAGTGCTAAGGCGTTGTAGGCGCTCTTGCTTGCCGGAGCTCGACTCATCCTTGAACTTCGCTTGCAGCTTGGGAATTTTCTTCGTCTCTCCCTTTGGCAGCTTGATCACCTCCTCTGCAGGGACGGGGAACCGTTCGGGGAACTTCTTCCACTTGGCCGTTGGAATGCCAGGTTCAGGGCGCTCCGCTGCCATTCTGCCTGTCCCTCCATTATCAATTTCCTCATCATTTACGCTATTGGTATTCTCCGTTGCCGGTGGTGGCAAGCTGTCGGTGCCTCCCACCTTCGCTGGTTCCTTCGCAGAGTCCTTCGCAGAGTCCTTCGCAGAGTCCTTCGGATCACTCTTGATGGGAGTCTTCACTGGTGGAGTGTCGGAGGGATCTTTAAACCGGTTGTTGTCCTTTGAGCCGCTATTGGGGCCCACGGGCGAGATGATCTTCTCTGTCTGTGGTGGGGAGGAGGTGGAGCCGCGATTGGGGTCGGGAAGCACGCGGTTTCGACTCTCCTCAATGGCAGCAGCAACGGCCGGGTTTTGCGGATGGGCAGCATCGGGTGAGTGAACGCTAGACTCTTCAATCACTGTATAGCTCCAATCGCGTGACCGCGCAAAGTGGAAGAATGTGAAGACGACAGCCGCCGCGAATATGACCAGAACTCGGTATCGGCGAGCTCGAAACATCGCGAGCTGTCACCTTCTAGGTATATTCGTTTCGAGAAAAAAATACTAAAAAAAAAAAGGAAGGAGAAAGGAAGACACCAAGGAAATTAGCCAAGTCCAGATGAAATCACGAGACTCCACAAGTAAACAAAAAGATCCACACGAGAGCCTCCCCGTTCTATTTTGGTTCTTTCTGTTCTTTGACATCTTCAACTTTTCTTCAACTCTTATTTCCATGTTATATCTTTCCTTTATGTTTTTTCCAACTTCAATTTCTCTTGTACAAAGAGATCTTTCCCGATGAAATGCTCTCAATTCCTCAATGCCCCGGAGAACTGCGGTTTTTGGGCCTCAAGACATAGTGGAGATTGCAGCCCAGACGGCATCTTTTAGGGCGAATAAAATAACGAGGCTGTTCAACGTTGACCATTGGCCCCAGATTCCGGACCGTCACTGGATTAAATGCATGCAACCCGTAAGGGTTTCTCATGTTGGCCTATCATCAATCGACTCTTCCGCTAGCTTGTCTCAGCGCGGCCTCCATCACAAAGGTGGTCCACATGGCTGATCTCCCATTGGTGTGCTAATAACCCCTGCAGCCGAAAGACACATAATAATCCGCGCGATTATGATTGCATGGGAGCATCGACAGCAATCTGGACCGGAAGATATATCCTACACAATACGGAGTACTCAAGTATAAATAGGGGGTTCGCCGGGTCATCAGGTCACTAGGTCGGGGTAACGACTAGTAGGTTATGTTACATTGACCTAGTGAACTAGTGAGGTACATGAAGTCAGTAGTAGGTCTAGCTGAATGCTTCCCTAAGCTAGGTTTTGTCCCTAAAACCTAAGTTGAGCGAGGAGCCTATCCTGTATAGCGAGTGCGGTTCTAGACCCTAAAGGATGGCACGTGGCAAATAAGTCACTCCTGTCATGTCTTATTCTATAGTTAACGATGTACTCCGTACTCCGGTACTCCGTAGTCACATACATAGTCATACAATACACCGGATCTTTGGTCAAGCAAGTTGGATTTCCCTTTCCGCTTTAGTACTGGGCACCCCCTGAGTATTACGTAATCATTAAGCTTGCTTACTGAGCGTCACCCCGATCGGGAAATTCGCATGGCACATACTATATACAGCACATACATATGGAAAATTTGTAAATAAAATGAAAAGAAAAGACAAATAAGTACTACTTACTCAATTTTTAACACCAAAAGCTCCAACACGTGAAGTTGAGTCAATTACAGTATATTGTTGCTAACCATATCCCAATTAGGTATAATCATCGTCAGTGGATACCCCTCTTATTATCGGTGATGTATATCCTCGAGAGGATGGTATTTTGCAAAGCCGATGCGGTGTTTCTACTTTGAGCTGCAGCATCAGACGCAGCTCTCTCCATGTCTACACCGGATTTGGTCGCATTCTCTAAGCCATGGAGGATATCAGTGGAAAGTTTCTCGTTCAGTTGTTTGTCTAGCGAGTAGGAGTAGGGTTCATTGGCATTGCTCGACCTTGTTTCTTCAGGAACCGATTGAAATTGACAGAGAGTAAAATATTGGGCACGGTAAACCTCGAACTTCCAGCCGCCAATACGAAGTGAACTCAACTTCCATCAGGAGGACCATACTCAGACAGATCTAAATCCAACGCCATTTCATACCCAGCTTCTGGAAATAGCCAAACAAAGCATTCTTAGGCACATATCCAGCAAATGATCTCTGCCACCCAGCTGCAAACGAGCCCTCAATTGGACCCAACTCCCCAAACCCAAGGATTTCAAGAGCCCAAGGTGTCAACAAGGCCAGAATGCCCAATGCAATCAGCGTAGTGTACATAGGATGGTCTGTCGCAAAGCCGACAGCAGCGTTTCTGCTCTGGGCCGCAGCATCAGAGGCGGCTTTCGCCATGTCTGCGCCGGAATTGATTGCATTCTCTAGACCGTGGAGGATAGCTTGTGCTATGGCGTCGGTCCAACTTTCGGTGGAAAGTTCCTCGTTCAGTTGTTTGTCGAGCGAGTATGGTTCGTCGGCATTGAGTATTGTGGTGACAATGGCAGAGGCAATGGACTCAGGGGATCGGGGGTCGGTGGGAGGACGTGGCTCGTTCGCCAGTCTCCCAAAGATACAGCCTCCGATACAGTCGAGCATCTTGTTGATGCTAGGTTGTTTCTGTGGATATGAATGTGGTTTGTCGGTGGGCAAGGTCAAAGAGGAAGGCACATCAAGAGCGATGGAGGGATGGAGGGATGGCGGAGGGAAAGGAGGGGCACAGAGGTGTATCGGTATTTGGGCGCTTACACAGATTCCTAAGGTGCCTGATGTTCATGGGTGCATGTGACTTAGGACTAGTTAGTAGACAAACATACTGCTGACATCATGACAGGCAAATGGATGATAGAGCAATGAAAGACTAAACGCTGCATGAAATGGTCATATATCGTGTCTGAAGCATATAAGCAACGAGCTTTCTAAGTAAGCCTACCACCAAGAAGTGGCACAGGAGATGAATATCTAAATCCCCGTCCGTCTGCCTTCGGTATTAACTTTCTGGAACTGCTGAATCAACCCCAAAACACCGCCCCCACCAGCAATGGCGTCGATATTTTCACCTTCATCGCCCTCATCAGGATCATCCTCGTCCTTGCTGAGTGGGTTCATGCGCCAAGAACCGCCGAGGTTACCGTCACTAGTGCCTGCACCTGCACTGGAATTACCGGTACGAGCACCCGACTGCCGTATTGTTGATTCACGACCGTCTTGGGATAATGGTTCTTCTTCGTCGTCGATAGTATCCGTAGACGGGTGTCCGAGCCGGGAGCGATGGTGCTGCTGGGGGCTGGTTCGGGCGGCGCGGAACCCAGTGGTTGAGGGTTGGTGGTGCGGGTCAAGCAGGATGGATGGAGCAGGAGATCGGTGATCGAATCCTCCCATTTGCCTTAGTTTAGAGTCTCCCATCATTGATTGAGCGCCAAATGGCACACCGGCGGTCGGCCCAGTGCGTGCATGGAGATGGTCAGGGCGATCAGGAAGAGCACCGAACTCGGCTGCAGTGGGTGAGTTGAGGGTTGGCAAGGTTGGCGGTGGGTGGAATTGTCGTCGGCTGTTAGGTTGATGAGTGGTACCGTAGTTGTCCAAGAAGCCATAGTAGGAAGCTAGCATCTTGCCATCTTTAGTTGAGAAGTAATCAGTGCGCAGGTCCTGTTTGCCAGGGTCTCGACGCCCGGGCCCGGCTTGGGAAAGCACATTTGTGCCCTTCTTGAAGTCGAATACGGCAAAAGAGCAGAGATAGCCTACCCCGTCGACGTGCACGGTGAACTCCCGGAAGAAGTCAATGAGGCGGTCACTGCACTTGGGCAAGCTGAACCATAGGACGAAAGGAGTGAAAATCATGCTCAAGATCTCCTCTAAGAATATCACAACTTTCATTTGATAGAGGATTGCAAATTCTTTCCGCACGTCGTCGCTATGCAAACGCCCCTTCCATCCGGACGGGAAGTAATGAGTAAAATCGATCAGCTCGAGAAGTGCATACTCGGGGTCGAAGACATCGGTCTCTTCGGGTGCCAGCCCTCGCGCAAAGGCCCAGACTGTACCGAAAATACCAAGATAGAATAGCACAGTCCGGTCAGGAGTAATTTCAAATCCAAGGAAGAGCTCCGGGTCTATCACCGAGGCAAGGGCCAACACCGAGGCAAGAGCGCCAGAGATGAAAGCAACGAACCGTGCCACTTGAATAGTCTTATCCTTGGGAAATTGGTCCACATAGCGACTAGCGAATGGATAAGACATATTGATTCGACGCTCAAAGAGATGCCAAAGCTCATTGAACTCGCGGAATTTCCACTCCGCCATAGGTGTATATTGACGGGAACCGATTTGGCCCGGATTCTTCTTGAACTCATTGAAGTACCGGAAGAAGTAGTGCATCATAAAATAGACCACAATAAAGGGCGCTACGAAAATATTCATGACGCCAGCGAAAATAAAGCGCCGACGTAAGCCATCACTCAGGGCTCTCCGATGCGTGTCCTTGAGGAACAGGGTTCGCAGTTGGCCTTGCTCATTAAAGACATAGTCCATGACACAAAGATTGAGATTCCATTCCATGGTTCGGGAGAAGAGTTGTCGATTTTTGAGGAACGGGATAGGGAGAGTAAGGTCCAGAATATCCTTGTTCACTAATGCGATCATGTAGTTCTCCTTGCGCATTAGGCGGTTGGCAATGTCGTGAGCGTCCATTCTCTGCTTTGACTGGCTGCCCAGGAATCTTCGATGTTTGGCAGAAACCGCAGCCGCAGTAGATGGATTCGAATCTCTCAACGCCATCAGTCGACTGACCACTTCTTGCCATGAAATCGTCTGCACCTCGGCATCCGAGACGCCGAGAAGGTAGAAATAGAAGTCATGCAGGTGTTTGAGCCTGCGAATGTCTAGTAGGTACTGGAAAAGCTTCCCAATCCAGAAGAAGCTAAAAAGCCACAGCAAAAATGTGGACGACCCGGACATATTTGCTGTACATTGAGGCACGAGGATGTCATCCAGAGTTTTACTTCGCCGAACCTTAGAATAATCAATGCAGTTGGTTAAGAATGTAGAGAAACCAACAACGAATGCAAATGTCCTGTGTGTACTGTCAGCTTCTCCTAGGATGCTTTGGAAAGGGTTTCATCGTGAACTTACAAGAGGTTCAGCACCCGAGTCAGCAGAATAGACCAAATTCCGTTCCCTAAGAAGTATATGTAGACGTCCTTTAAGAAGTTATCCAGATCCTCGACGTTCGCCCACCGCCACATTGCCTTCTTCTTGGGGTCAACATTGGCAAGACCAGGGTGTTGGCCGGTGAACCATCTCCCTATTGGATGACCGCTTTCACTGGGCAGTGTTTGATGGGCTGCTTGTTCATTCCAACGTGTTCCGGTGTGTTGTGAGGATGGACCAGGGCTAGGGGTTCTTCGTCGGTCCGGACGACCATGAAGTCGGGGAGGAGGAGGTAACTGTGATTTCAGATCTTCGTGATGACCTTCCACCAGCAGAGACTGAGGGACGTCCTCATCATGATCATCGAGCTCATATCCGAGTGGTGATTCTTGTGGCATCCACCGAGGCCGGGACGACTTGCGACGGCGGGTGCCAGATGGAGAAGCTCGCTCTTCAGGTGCTTTGCCCGACCGTGCCTGCCCAAGCAATGCAGTGCTGGGGCTGATTATTTCACTATCCTGTGCATCCGCTAGTGCATCCTCCAGTTCCCGGTCACTAAATTGTTCCTGTTGGTCTTCTATGACCAAGCCCGCACGTTCTTCGAGATCAGAGTATTCGGACCCGACGTCATGTTGGCGAATGGTCTCATAGACCGATCGTGAGCCCGTTGGAGGTAGGAACCGTGATAATATGTTAGAGGACATCATTTTGAATCAGACTAAGGCTATAGTCAGACCATTCATGGCAACAGCTTCAGAAGCCAGTGATCGTGGTAATGAAATGCCATCCAGCGGCGCTTGAAATGCGGATAAATGGGGATCACTATCAATACAACAGACTGAACGTAATCGTGTTTCAAATGAGCATGCACCCTAATTAAGGTGACTGTACCAGCTTATAAAATAGTAGCCTTTGATTTAGTCCTCGTGATAACAGTCACCAGGAGCCATGATCATTCCCCAGACCTCCCGATAGCTATGATGACATAAAGAAGGGGTATATGGCCTCAGGCAGCAATCTAAAGTCATGTGTGTGTATCACGTGATTGGGCCCTTGTGGACCTTATCTTATCTCCACAGGTGATATGGATACCGGAATTTACTTTGCCTCCATCAGTACTAACCTATCCATATTCTACCTCCATATTCTTCTCACTCATTGACTCTATAATTATTCAATCGCCAGCTCCATAGATTTGGGCTAGAATGGATTTCTTTGCATAACTCCTGACGGAAAATTATCTTATTGATTTCGAATCCTGCTGCAACCTCACTAGCTTAGAGGGTCTACAACTATCTCGAGCGGAGCAGATATTCAAGCCTCGTACAAGATTGTCCCGGAGCATACCTGAATAAATCTTCCCGAACATCGGAGGGACTCCACAATGAATTCACGCTCCGAACCTCTATCGGTCCTACGACATTCACCCCACAGCTCTGCTAGAACAGGACGCTATGCGGCCTGTTTCCGTCCACCATATAGTACTAGTACTAGTACTCACTAGCTGCGGCATGCCAAGCTATGAGTACCGTCGGTAAAAGTCCATCTTACTGCCTACGCTTGTCTCCGGCATTCTTGAGTCGTCTCGAATCCGCAGTGCCCCGTCGTCCAATCGCTTCCCTGGCCGACGTTATTAAATGCGTGCATGGAAGACTTCCAGAACCCACTGGTAAAGTACAACAATTTAGGATTGATCCACAGTTCCACAATACACTCATCTACGATGGTTATGAGCGGGTACCGTACCGTACTGAGTAAGAAGCACTTTGAAATTGCGACTTGCTATTTTTTGTGTTGAATACTTCAAAATCAGATATGCTTATATGCTTACATGCTCATATTTATCATCTCTCTACGGCTCAATCTGAACTTAGTTCTGTGTGACTCCAGTATATAATCCTGGCTGAAGATCTCATTTCCTAACCGCTACAGACTAACAATTGACTCCACTTTCGGAGATTTCCCTCAACCTGTTTTAGTAGAGACTCCCCTCCCCGGCTACGACATTATTAATGTCTCTATTAGTGTATAAGTAACTAGAGCGAATCAAAAGTACCTACTGCGTCAAGGTGTTAGCCTAGGTGCATATGTACCATAGTTGGGGCCAGGATCTGCGCCCCGGACACCACGTTTGAATTTGCATATTGCAGAGCAGACCGTATAGAAACATTCATTTAGAATCATATAGAGTTAATCCAAATACAAGGAGAAGGTTGCCATCGTCAGGAGCATATGAATCCATGCATTTATAATATAATATACTAGTACGATGCACGGCCACAAAGGGATCAATATCTCAAGCATGACCGTCATGACTCAAGACTTCAGGGCCCATTTCCACTAGCCCGGTGATCCGCAGCCAGTGCGAGTCAGCAGAAAGACGCCATGCAGTTATCCCGACTTCTAGAAAATCTCTCGGCAGTTTAGGACCATTTTCGAAAAATCCGAAA